TTTGCAATAAGGAGCCCCTATTTCTGGCTCATTTTAGAAACAACATTTGTGCCATTGGTTTCCCTATGCAGAAAGGTGTTTTCATGGAACATCCAGAGATAGTGGTTCCTTATTGCAAAATGTAATCCATATGAAGTATTATTTGAAAACTTGGGGCTCGTGCTGGCAAAAACATCCTGTACTATCGTTCAACCATGTTCGCGGCCCGACGTAGAGGTAAGACACGCTTTGAGTAACGCTTTCCACTTAAATTCACTTACCGGCGAGCAATATCGTCCGCGAGCAGAGCCCGTGGAAAACTGCAAAGACGTTTTTTAATCCAACAGTGGATTTAAACTGACTTCCTGTGACGTCATATGAAGTTATTGCGGAGGCATTTAAGCAACAGGGGAAATTAACGCACAGGCATAATTTTTCCAATACAAAATCCAATTTTAACTGACCGATTTTAGGACAGTTTGGATGCTATACGGTGATTTTTGAAAGATAATCGTTTCTGAAAAGGGTTAGAGAAAAGTGAAAATGCGAAGCTAATAATAAGAGAAGCTTCGCTGGACACCATCTTCTGTAAGAGTCTTGTGTTTCTTTTATAAAAAGCTGGTAAAAAATGAAATATTTGAAAAATTTGTCCTCTCCACTAAAAGTACCCGGAGAAGGAGAAAATTAGGACACGCATGGACTTTTCCTTGTCCTCGAGATTCTTCGGTCCTGCCAACACCCTGGCAATTTTTAGGACACAGAAAAACTGGCTATTTCTTCCTCTTATCTCCTAATTAGCTCCACAAATTCTCAAAAATAAAATGAAAATAAAACTCGTTACTACCATGCACAACATTGAGATCGATACATTTCAAATCGGGATAGTGATTGGGGGAATGGGGGCCGGCCATTCAAGTACGCAGCTTAAATGGATCTGATTGTTAGCTTACGAGGGGGGATGGGGCTCAAGCCTAGTCTTCCGTACTCAAATCTCCCCTCTCCCATTTTCGAAAAAAAAAATGCGATAAAAACAATTATTTCCAACTTTTTCAAGTTTCTTCGTTATTTCCTAAAAAGTAGGGACGGGGGCGGGGTAGGAGTCAGGCCAATCTCATAATTATAGGGGGGAGGGGGACGAGAGGTATGCTTACGTCTGCTTTTCAAAGAGGGGGGGGGGGTCAAAAAGTCGGCCAAAATGCCTTACGTAATACTTAAACGGCCTATTGGAAGCAAAGTTCAAATTAGAACAGATAAGTAATTCCATATTGTAAGGGCTATACGACGCGGCGTTACAGAGTCGAATTATTTGTCCACTCATGAGAATATGTACATTGTCGAGAGAGGTCAAATATGCACTGAGTCACTCGGCCTTTAAAAGTTTTATGATCAGTATTTGGTCCTGGTGGTGCCTCTAAGGCGCTTCGATAAATGGTGATTGACACTTGGAATACTTGGATGGCGCTATGCGAAATTGGGTCAATCAACATTTTGGCATGAATCCTCGTTATAGTGTGAGGATGCATTACAATGTTAGTTCATGTTGACATATGAATGAAATCATTCTGATTTCGCGTTTCCCACTTGTGATAGGGCTGCTCAATGCGTAAGTTACACTAGTTGTAACACTCAATAATTACAATGTTGATGGGTAAATCCCACTTAATACGTATCAAAATTCGTATCAGCAATACGTATTAAAATTCGTCAAAATACCAATTTTCTACGCTCAAAATAAGACTGATCGAGTAACTACGTGATCAGTCATCCCAATTCGATGGTTTCATTGTAAACAAATACATAACTGAGAAGAAAAAAACACTTAAGAAGTGGCCCGAATACTGTATGTAAGAAGGTGAAGAAATGGTGCCGGGTCCACGCCATTTCGCGGGGAAATCAAAGCCAAGAAGTTCCAAAAATTATATTTGGAGTCACAAATTAACTATTTCTAACTCTAATGAGCCTTTTTTTAAAATCTAATAATGATTTTTGGAACTTCTTGGCTTTGATTTCCCCGCGAAATGGTGTACATCCAGCACCATTTCTCCACCTTGTCAAACACATAACCTCATCATATTCACGCCGCGTTATAGGGTGAGAGATGCATCCAAGTGTTTCTTGCGATTAAAACTGCTCGTGTTAATGAGTCATTGATTGTTTTATGATTGGTCATTTGGTCAATGATAAAATCGTGATGAGATAACGCTATACACTCTGCTCAGTATTTGGACCTCAAGTTATGATGCTATCAAGTTTGTTGTAGTTGGAAACACAGAGAATCGATAGGTGAAACATCGCAAGAATGACGTAGTTACTAAATCAGTCTATTGGCAGAGGTATCGACTTCCGACAAATTTAGTGACGTCATCCTTTTAGATATTGCATGGTATAGGGTACCCGTAAACGGAGAGTTCTGCCATAATAACATGAAAAATTTCCACACTATAGACACATTAATAATACCGTCATGTTATACGCGCGTGATTACGTTCCATCGAAGAAAACTGTTAGACCCCTCTCCCCCTCACCATCGCCTCATGGAGGGGCTAAAAAAAACGCGTGAAAAATGAAGTGCTTAAAATAATCAGGCGCGGCACCATGATCACGCGATTTTTTTTTTGTTTTGCGGCGACCTTTTTGAAATATAATTACTTTCACAATTATTAGATAATTAATTTATTTACAAACGAAGAGATTGAAGTTAACGTCCTCTCTCACGGCGCGAGGCACTCCGATGCAACGTGAGTTTATCGTCAGTTCTAAGTTGAAATGAAGAAAGAAAAAAAAAAATCAATACTCGATTTGAAAAAATGCAATCGTGGGTCAAACTCCCAGACATAACAAGCGGTAATTTTGATTGTTTATCAGAAGAAGGTAGTCACCAATCGCTGATGCGATGAGTGTATGTAAATACACGCGCTCTTATCAATGTAAACACGCTGGGTACTTATCTGTACCTACTTAACACATTACACGGTAAGCGATTTCAATGTTCGAGGCTTACATGAAAAACGCTTTCCAAGCGCAATAATTCCAAAGGTCCGGTTACACGATCAAATTGAGGCATCGAATTGGGCCTCTCATTGGTCGCATACTCACCTCGGGTCTTTCTCCATTGATCAGAGCTTCAGTTTGATGGCTCAATTTGATCGTGTAAATGGACCTTACGGCAAAGGCGCTGTGCGACGAAAAGCGTTCGCTCGAATAAGACCGAGAACTAGCTCACAATGAGCCTTCCTATACCGAAAAGTAGCTATACTGCCGTGCTAAGGAAGAGCGCCGTATGAACCTTTAGGCGTTGCTAAATTTTTTTCGGGAAATCACGAATTTTCGGAAAAATTTGTAAATATTTTCCTTCCAATTTTTCAGGTAATTTTGTTCGAAATTTTACTTACCTCGAGTTCTTGCAAAAATTTCTCGGGAAAATGTTCATAATTTTCCTAAAAAATAAACATATTATCGAAGGAAAGGCAACTCTCGAATGTTCATACGCCATTTTTCCTCAGCACGGCAGTATGGGCGCTGAACTATAATTCGGTTTGAATAGAATAACTGAGGGTTTTTTTTTTTTTTTTTTTTTTTTTTTTTTCCCCAACCGTGTGCGAGATCGAGTCTATTAATAATCGAGTTATAATCTAATGTATCTAAAACACTACCATTGAATTAAGTGATTATGGTGAGGAGGGGAAGTAGAGTTTTGAATTTTTTTTCTTTTCAAGAGGTAAAAGTTATCGCAAGAAACTGGCAAGAGAGGTAAGATTTCAAGCTCAAGTCGATCTCAGGTCATGCACAAAAATCCAACGACCATAAATTACCTTCTAGCCTTATCGACCTTTCAAGCATGAGGAGTGCAAGAAAGGAGCTACTCGAATTGAAACAGAGCTCTGCAGTATCTACTATGTATTTGCTGAGGACTTAAAGCTACACATGGAGCTGTCACGTGGTAAATTAACCTGCCGATGATATTGAAGAGCTGTCACTTTCAAAGGTGTACCTCCATCGATATTCGAATGATTTTTCTCGTTTTTTTTTTCATGTTTTGTGGGTGAGTTTAATGACTGCGTTATTTCAATTGCCTTCCGAGTTCATGATGATCGGCGAGGCGACCGAACGAATGATAAAGGCGACAAAAAATTCCTGACGCTGACTTTTGAGAGCCGAGCAATGCGCTGCAACGTTCAACTTGTCACGATCATACTATTTCTTACACGGCTATTACGGAAGGGGCCTTTGTGAAGTCAAAAATTTGAATTCCGACGAATAAGAGCAGAATAGGATTTTCTTTTTTGATCAAGTGCGGACTGAATTTTTGGCATGTCAATGAATTGACGCTCATTTCCATAACCGAGAACTTCGTCTAACGATTCATTGTTTTGGAGAAAATAAAAATTCGTAGGGCGACATCTGAGTTTGACAAAAGGTCACGACACGAAAAAACGACGAAAACTACTGAAAAATCTTGAAATTTCTTTAGAACAAAAGTGAAAAAATCCATGATAAAGGCAACGAACAATTTTAAAACGATGATCTATTTTTGCTCTGAATATACACATTACCGCGATTTTGAGAAAAAGATGTGATTTTCACCGCGGTTTTTGCCTCAATTTTGCGGAAAATATGCAATTTATAAGTTGCGCCGCCAGTGCGTCACACAGTAGATCGAGTCAATTAGAGAGGCCGGACAAGAAATTTTTTACTAACAATGCAAATTTTGATGTCTATTTCATCACATTATAAATTTTAACGGATGCTTCCAGAAGAGAATGTCACACGAAAACCAATGGATCCACTTTCAGAATCTCAAAGTTGCGCATAAACAGAGTTAAAAGCCTTTGAAGTTTCCAAATTTTGTCCGACCTCTCCTTTTGACTCAATCCAGTGTGCGCCAGCCTTCCCATTTTTGCTCGTGACTGATCGGAACCTGACGGTCGACGGTGGTTTCTGCGCCCCTGAACTTGTCATATTTTATTAGTTGACGAAACATTTTCCAAATTCAAAAAATTTGATTTCAAAATTTGACTCACGTTTGCCGGAGTTGCTCCAAGCTTCGGGTAGCAAATGAAGGAAGACATCGCCCAGAAGTCCGCCGACCGCAAAACTCAACAGGACCTTCAGTGTTTTCGCACTCGCTGAAACAGATCACAACAAACACATGAGAAATTACTAGCATCAAAGAGAAAACAACCTATCAATGATAAGAAATAGAAAACATCGAATAAATCGTCACTAAGAGTACAGCGACACCCTAACTTTCGTTAGCATAACTCCGTCAAGCTGAGGAAGAACGCTGGAAGAGCCTTGAGACGTTGCCAAGTTTCTCCCGATAAAACCCGAAATTACTGGGAAAATTTTGAATTTTATTTTCCAAAATTTTCAGATATTTTTGTAGGTACTGTAATCTGAAATCTCTGAAAATTTCAAGGAAAAATATGGATGAATGTTGTCAAAAATACATGTTTTATCGAGGGAAGTTTGGCAATTCTCGAATGTTCATACGGCGTTCTTTTTTAACACGGCAGAACTGCAACGAAAGTAATGTGTCTCATTTGCATTGGAAAACGGCATCGTGCCAAAATGACATCACAAACTGTCGTGAAGACGCTTGGCACAAAGGAATCTGAGAATCAGACAAGTCGCGTGCATTTAAAGAGCATTTGCAAAATCGATTACTAAAGTGCTAAACCATACGTATCTCTATTACCATGTTTCAAAATTTCGGTTCCTTTTTTATTTTTTCAGGGATAAACAAACAGACTTTATAGCTTTAAATTATCACAGAATATTCTACTGGCGGAGAGCAAAAATTCAAAAAGTTGTCGATAGATTATGTAGACTCGTTTTCCAAGGAGACAACGAAGTATGACACTAAGTCTGCAACGTTGCAAACGATGATATATAGTTTCGTACTTTGGCAATCGACAGTCGACAGTCAACACGTTTGGTATGTTGCGTTCTTGTGTCAGGATCGCCTGCTGCGTCTTTTAAACGTTCGGTAAAGCGTGCAAAACTTTTGGCAAGGGTAACGGGAAACGTGCAGCGCTTGCTCCGAGAAATAAACTTCAGTCATAAGAACCATGAGTGCATTGTTGCATATCGTCCGTGAAATTCGGTTCACGTAACCGTATTCTTGTCTCTAGGAGGTGTATTCTCGGTAATGAAGGTTTGATGGGTAATGACCTCAAGAGGCATGATTTCGGCACAGAGCGCCTTCATTTTGTCTAATACTCTGCGCTTTGTCGCGGGGTTGGTTTAGTTGCGTGACCCAACTGAACCTAACTGAGGTCACGGATTTCACGCTCTCCTGAGCGTGCATACCTATTACTACAAGAGACCCTCCATTAGTATCTTGGCAATGGTGGAAGCTTTTACTTTCAGGGCTTCAGCATTCTACCGTTGACTTACCTATATGGTTGATGTTTAACAACGTGTTGGCAGTTTCGTTTTGCAAACAAGCCGAAGTTTGGGAAATTTGTTTGGCTCATGGCGTCACCCGAAACTTATCATCCATCATGAAGGTAGGTCAACAGCCGGAATAAGATTGATGACTGTTGCTCATTTATAATTGGACCGCGTTAAGCAGAAAGGAACCAACCCACATCAGCTGCTGCCAAATTTGACTGGAAAATTTAAGTTTTCACATAAAAACGGTAGTGCTGATTTTTTTGCGAAAATCAGTGAATTGTCTGCAATGTACGAAGCAAATTCATTGACATTTTCAATAGAATCCGCACAAACTACCTCTTGCAAAAAATTAGATTGTTCAGTTAAATTTGGCGATAGCTGATGTGGCTTGGTTCCTTTCTGCTTAACGCGGTCCAATTGTCCATAAAAAATTGTTGAATCCCCGAAAGTAAAAGCTTCCACCTGTCGCCAAGATGCCAGAGGAGGGTCTCTGACTCATCCACAGATGCACCTATCTGCGTAGGAAAACTGAAGGTTCATATGTTATTTCTAAAATGAGCCAGAAATGGTAGTTCCTAGATGTTCTAGTAGTTCCCTGCTACAAAATTCCAAAATGATGAAAGGGCAGCGGGCGCAAGCGAGCAAAGGCGATCCGTGCCGTACCGTTGCGATTTACGAGCGCGTATTCATCCTCGGAGATAATTAATTTAAAGTCTCCGTTTAGTAATTTCGCCTGCGGCACGAGACGCGCAGGTTCGCTGGCGCAACGCCCGAAGCCCGAGGTCGCTCGAGCGGCGCTTCCACGAGCAGCGCGAGACGCAAAGATGCCCGCGACCGGGTGCAATGATATAAAAGGGAATCTACCCAAAAATATTTGTGTTTTCGAGTTGCTTTCGGTAAATAGAGGAAGTAAAACACAAACCAACTTAATTTTATTTACCCTCAATTTCTTACGAGGGAAACCACAGAATCGACCAAAGGCTAGGTTTACTTTTGGGTTCCACTAGGTACTAAAATATTAACCAAACTTTGGTGTTATTTTTCCTTAGAAGCAACGACACAGCCATTTTCGGGGAACTTTTTTTTTCTTAATCACTCACTGAAAAAAAAAAACACATTGGATCTGAAGTCCAGACTCTTAAAAACATCGACAAGAAAAAATATTCTTGATTCAATCAGATTTAAGCTTAAATCAAGAACCAAACCTCTTAATTTGAGCGGATTTCCTTTTGATTTAAGCTTAGAACTGATTGAATCAAGAGTCCTTTATCTTGTCAATGTTTTCAAGAGTCCGGACTCTAGATCCAATGTGTTTTTTTTCTAGTGTCCGAAACTCGCGTCACCAACGTCTGGGAAGACGCAGGTTTGCAATCATGAAACCCAGTCGCGGGAATCATCCGCGTGCGTCCTGTGGGACCAGGGCTTAACTCGTGTCGAGAGCAACGAGCGACTTACAAAGTTGTTGGTTCAGATGTTACTCATCACTCCTCTTTCTTCACATTATGAATATATAATAAATGAACAAAAACATAAACAAGCGGCCTGGTGGTTAAGTATTCAATATTTCTTCACCTAGAAATACGCAAAGTAACGGAGACAGAGAGAAAATAATATCTGTCAAAATTGAAACTTCATGTTTTGGGTACATCTTAATATGGGTATTATTTTAGACACTCTAGTGTGGAGAACCAAAATTACTTTTGAAAACGAAAAGTCAAATTTCAAAAGGCGGAGCTAAGGAAGCCGATGGAAGGTGAAGCCTGCTGTCCTGGAAATCTACTTGTTCTTTCCCAAATGTGAAAGATTTTGCTACATAGGCGCGAGTGCCTTACATATCTTACTTCTTTGAAACCGTAATTCCATCCACTTTTCGATGAGAAAAGCTCCAAACTACTACGCATTGTCTCAAAATTTTTCTACGGAGATTCCTCATACCCCTCTTTGTAGCGCTCCGGCCCCCATTTCAAGCTGAAGGGATCCCCTTTGGTGGGTTTTTTTCTAGTGCTCCCCGGGTCCCCTTCTTGACATGGCCGGATTTACCTACTTGCCGCCCTCTTCTCATTCATTTTGAAACATCAATAAAAACCATCAAGTGAACGTGTCGGAGGGAGAAGGGTGCATAAGACGCGTTCACTCGTGTTGGACACATTTTTTGCGTAAGCCCCGTCAACACTGCTAGCAAAAGTTCACGGAGCTTCGCGCGGAAGTTCAGTTTCGTAAACCTATCTCTGTGTGGACAAGGCCTTTCATTTGTAAGAAATGAACTAAAAAATTAAGAAAGAGCAAACATAAATGTGGTTTAATAATTTTAACTTTCGCCGCCGTGCCTGCGCTAACACTGTGTTTGGCGCACAAATGCGTGAAGTATTCATATAGTCTTGTAGGCACTGTGCGTTTCACGCCGCGCCAACCGCTGTTGACCGTGCTGTGTTGTGTTTGACGCAATGCGTGAAGTATTCATGCAGTCTCGTGGGCGCTAATATGTGTTACATGCCGACCGCCGCGCCGAGGGCTTCTCCTTTTCATCTCAAGTCCTCGTCATCATTTCTCTCTGCGCCGCGCCGCTCCAGGCCAAATTACGTGTTTGGTTTCTCTCTTAACTCAACTAATTAAAGGTGCGCAGTCTTTTGTATCACCGAAATACAACAAAATTAGAAATTAATGAACTCTCAAGAAATGAGAGATTTTGTCACATTTTCTTGTCTGTAATTTTATTCTGAATTCGATTTTTTTGTACCTGCATTTAAAAAAATTGCAAAATTTGCCGCCCCCTTCGCCGCCATGTGCCGCGGCCCATGTGGCCACCCCCTTAATCCGGCCCTGCTTCTTGAGGGGCTTTTCTTCCCCCGACAAAAAATTCCCCATGGAGTGTCTATTGGTACTCAGTCATTCAAATTCCTTAGGTACTTATTCAATACCTTTTCCTTGTTTTTTCTTTACTTTCCCGAAAATTCATTTTAGGGCGATTTTTAAAAATCCTTACTTTCTCCTTAACTTTCCCTTACTTTTCCTCATCTCACACACATTTTAACCGTATTCGGATTGGGAAAGTGGAGTGATGGAACGAAGAGGAATAAACCGAAAAACACGAGAAATCAAACCGGGAACTTATACTTTATAGAAATCGCATACCCCCAAGGCTACTTTTTAGAGTTTATCACGAAAATCTTGAATTTCCGTACCTTTCTGTACTTCCGTAACGACCTTCCGAAATCCGTGCTATTTCAGTGCATCCATCCTTTTTCCGTACAGTAAACACCCTGGATTCCTAATTTCGCCCATGTCTCCTCCCCCACGGGGCTTCCACTCGATATAATGACGGACTGCAAAACCTTTTCAGCCATTTATTATTGACAGCACCTCTTATTTTTGTACGGCAAAAAGCCCGAATATAACGCGCAAATCTTGCACGGCACCGAGTGAGGTTAGAGCATTTCGACGGTGAAACTACCAAACCACGTATCTCGGTTTGCGACGTCGCAGACTTCCTGTCATACTTTATTTTTTGAATGAAAAACTACTTAACGTCCAGTCTTGAAAATTTCCGTGATTTTTCCTCTTCGTGCGGAGAAAATTCTGTGAAAATTTCAAGGAATGATATGGATTTGGTCTACTTCAAAAAAATAAAATGCGAGCGTAGATTTTTAAACACCGCAAACGAGATACGTGGTTTGGTAGTTTCACCGTCGATTTGCTCCGAGACAAAGTGTTTCATCTCGGCACTGAT